ATTATTATTATTATTATTATTATTATTATTATTATTATTATCATCATCATCACTATTATCATTATTATTTTTATTATCCAATAGTGGTAGGACGAGGGAACTTTTTTATACTCTTAATTATCTTCTCCTTCTTTTATTCTATTTTTATTCTATTCCACTATTACTTGTTAAAAATGTTTACTAATGCTAAACATGATATATTATAATGCTGCTATTATATTCGATTACAATTTTCCTTTGATATACAGGACAGCCCGATCGACGTAATCTGACTGTTATCTAATTGAACGTATTAACTCTTCCTTATTTCCGACATGAACTTTTTCATACGACGTTTGATCTCATAAGTATATACATATATACACATCTATATATTTTTTTCATAACAATCGAGTCTTTCATATTCGACTAAACTAAGTATTTAAAAATCGTGGATGCCCATTTTATTATTAGCATGCTATCAATGAGAATGAACAATAACAAAAAAAATTATATATATATATAATACATACATATATATATTTCTAATCGGTAGCACGTAAAATCGGGCTGAGCCTAGGCCATCGTATGATACTTGCCCAATTTTCCACTTTATTTTTAAGTGAAAAAAAAAAAAAAAAAAAAAGAAAAGGAAAAGGAAAAAGATAAACCTCTAATATAATTTGCACAATGTTCCTTCCTAATCAATCTACAAAAGAAAGAAAAAAAGAAAGAAAGAAAGAAAGAAAGAAAAAAGAAAAAAAGAAAAAAAGAAAAAAAGAAAAAAAACTCTTAGCTCTTAGTAAGGACATTGCCGCGCATCTTATAATAGTGCTTCACCATTAAGTACGGTATAATATCATATCCGTATACATGTGTGCGCATGCATATATAGATTTGTATGCAAGTTCATCGCGTATACAGACTGTATGAAGTACACGTGTATGTGCATGAAGGGAGAGAAAGAGGCGAAAAAGAAAAAAAAGACACATGTGTACTTGCATATACATACAGCGTCCGATCATTATTCTGTGGTGAGGAGCGCCGTTTCGCACGGACGAGACAATTTATCCCTTTGGGGGGGACGGGGGAGAATAATGCGCAGCGATTCGACCAGCAAGAGGGTACCGTTTGTTATTTTTTAAAAGGATTATCGTGCAATCGTACTCGTTTCATAGGGAAACTAATTTTTATGTGCCTTTACGCGACTAGTATGTTGAATTCTACTCTATATTTTAATAGCGAACACTCGAACTGATTTCCTATCAGTATATCTCTCGCATGTTAGACGTACCGCTCGAGAACGTCTCGGAAGCAAACTGCTCTACTGTTGTTGTATTTTAAAACATTAACTGTTATAACGGCATAGGTGTATAAGGGACAGACGCATAGAAAATGTATCGGCCGTTCGTTGATAATACGAAAATCCGTCGGGTTCGCCAGAGAGAAAGAGGATCACGTACGAATCGACTGTCAAGCGGAGGAGCGAATTATTCTGTTGTTTGCGATGGTGAACAAGCACGGTTCGTTTATCATTGAATATATGCCACGTACGTGCAATGATCCGCAGGGTATTAATTATCGACGAATGATCTCGTAAATGACTGCGCATTGATACTCGCTACGAAGTAATGAAAGGATCTTGCGTATGTATTTGTGTATTTAGAATTATACCGATCGATCGAATATTTAGTACTGAAAGTTTGTGTACGGATATCTATATTCATAGAAACTATATGAACAATTTATTTTTCCAACGAGCATATCATATCATTTTTATAAGAGATTTGTCAGAAGTTTAAAAACTTTTCGTAAAGAGCTCCTACATAGCAATCGGCTGTCGTGACGTTAC